GGATGTTTCTATAATTGAAGACATGTAGTGAGATGTTTGTATAATGGAAGACATGTAGCTGATGTTTGTGTGAGTGAAGACAAGTAGTATGAGGTTTGTATGATTGAAGATATGAAGTTGGATGCTTGTATGATTGTAGATATGTAACAGGAATTTTTTATGAATATAAACATGAAGAAGGAAGTATTGCAAATAAAAAAAATTAGATACAAATGAAAATCCTTGAATCTTACTATATTTATATGGCACACACTCTAGAAACTTTATTGTGCAAAAATTCTCAATCATCCACACAAGGTCTCAATTCTGATTCAGCTATCAAATAGTTAATTGGGTGGTGTGTGCTTGTACCTGTATTAGTTGTAAGGCCTTTAGCCCAGCCACTCTTTTTGGTTAAAAAATCAAGGGGTGAAGGTACCAAAATATTGTTTTCCATTGACCCCATGAACAAACTGTAGCCTTTTGTAAAATCATTAAACTATAATAGCTGACCAAGACCTACTCACAGGTGTTATTACACAAAAACTCAAGTGATATTTTTCAACTGTATCTGCAATATAGAGATACCGTTATATTCCATAAATGACATTTTCAAATCGATTTCATTCAGAAGAATGACAGCTATTAATCTGTATAAGATTTATATTACGGTACAACCAGGCAGATTATTGTAAAATTATGTTTCCAATGAAATCTTTCCTATTATCATGTAGGGTCAAAGTGTCCAATGCCAGAATACATGGAGTTTAATACTGGTACATCAAAAGAATATTAAATTATACATGTTTACTTTATTGCAGAAGATATAATTGGACATCAATTAAATATAAATTGCTATAAAAAAGTTCAGTATTCTAATATCTTTTCTGAGTTATAAAAAAACAATTATATACATGTTGATCAACATTTGGGACTTACAAATAATACAGAATATATATTTTAAAAATTAATGTAAAAATAAAAAGCTTTAAAATGACTATTTAGTTATAAAACTTATACTGGTCTCAAATTTAGCACAACTAAACAATAAGTTCGTTGTTAAAAAAAACAACAACACCACAGTTGATTAATTTAACCAACTTATTATTTAACACATAACATTCACAATATAAAATGAAGTGAGAAAATGTATGATATAAAAAAAAAAGGTGGCCATCCACATATGATAAAAAAATATATTTTGGGATGCATTATGAAATGAATTTGCTATGAAATTATTTTATTTTTTGAAAGAGTTCATTGATTTATTATCTTGGGATGGCCATGAGGGTCATATTTGATATTAAATGGTCTGCATTTTTAGAATAAAATTGGGTGTAAAAAAAAATATTTAAAAAACTAATACATTTTTTTTAAAACACATTCTTGGGATGCCCCTTAATTTTTGCCACATTACTGGTCATATAAAAATAGATGCAAAGAGACTTTAGCATTGACATTTATAATGAAATTTCAAACATTGGACAACACTAGAAATGAAATTTAGGTAGACAAGATAACCGGGAAAAACATTACTTTTAGGAAGTAACGAATAAAGAATTTAATAAGAACATTCAGAAGGTTGCATTACAAAAATATGTCACGCTCTATTTAAAAAAAAATATGTGTTATAGTATCATTGAAAAAAAAAAAGTAAACAGGTTTTGAGCAAATAATCTTTTTGTGGCCTTGGCCCAAACATTATTCTGGAGTTGTCTGTTTTTAAATCATTATCTGAGGAAAAACACATGACAGTGAATTGTAATGTTATGAGCCAGCTTTTTGTGATGTAGATCTTGTTTTTTTTTCCTCATGCAGTGGACATGGTGGGGGAGGGGGCAGTTTGTGTGTTACTCTTGGGCATTAAAAGGGGGAGAAAGGTGACTGAAGATGGTTGTTTGGTTGAGTTCTCTTAGCAGTTCATCATTACCAATACAGAGAATAAAACATGGGAAACTTTAAAAGAGTTTTGTTTCATGACATGCGAGTTCATGTGTGAACAAGTCTGAAACCACTCGACAACAAGAATGATAAAAACTGGTAGATCAGGATCAGAGTTCTTAGAACTCTTGACTTGAAGGAAGAAGCACCACAGTTGCAATATACATGGAGTTAGGCATAGATGATAACAAAAGGCAAATTAGCCAAGTGTTATTGTCGTTGGTAAACTAAAGTATATCAAATGGGGCTGATAGCGATACTAATATCGTATGAAACTCTTCAAAATTTTGAGTGTCATCTAAAAAGTCAAGCCAGAAGTGTTTTCAATCAAATTTCAACTCATAATCAGAAACTAACCCCAACTATATAAAATTAAAAAAAAAAATGTGAAACTTTAAGTGCTGTATAATATTAAATCAAACATTTTAAAAACTTTTCCCAGGTAAATCGGTAGGACACTGAAAAGCTTCCATCAGGTAAGTTTGGACACTGAAAACCTATCCCCAAGTAGGTTGGTGGGATACTGAAAACCTATCCCCACGTAAGTTGGTGGGACACTGAAAACCTATCCCCAAGTAAGTTTGTGGGATACTGACAACTTCTCTGGCCAACTCCACGTTTTGGTGTGGGCTACAAGTGCACACCTCTTAACAATAATGGGCACAAAGTAAATATTTTACAAAACAAAGTTAATCAAGTGTTACATTATCTTTCTGTTTGATAAGAATAATTAAATTTACTCAACTCTTACATTTCTTATCAGCTGTTATATCAGTGACCAGATCTTATTTCCGATTAAATTATGCAACCAGTGTATTACACTAGATACAGTTGTAAAATATTTAAATTTTGTAATTTGTACATTATACGATTTATTAATTTTAAAATCTGTCTCATTGTTAGAGTATAATTAAATATACAATATACCAGTAATAGAAATAAACTGCACAAGTACAATGTAATCTCTTTGGATCAATAAAGGAATTTTATCTTATTTAATATCAAGTGTTGTTTGTTTATCTTCCATTTTTCAGATATGATACTGATAAAACATACGAAGCCATGATAGACAGTTCCGGCTGGTAAAAACAAGAACAAAGTACAGGAGCTCCTCATTCCTGCCGAAGACAATAGGGGACTGGAACAAGCTTCCAAAAGCAACAGTTGAGGCGGCTACACTCGACACATTTGTACATTTGTGTCTATTGCCTCCTGTATTCCAACCCCCAGTTCATAACACCACTGCTGAGTCGCCCTTGAAACCAGTGAAGCATCCCATTGAAACACATGCACAGTAACATCGCAAACCCCTCTGAAACACAGGAGCCAGAATGATCAATTCATTGATCGTGGGCCCTCAAAATAAAGAAGAAGAAGAAGAAGAAACTGGGAAGGGCTTAAATAAATAGAGACTAGAATACACTTCTTTGCCTAAAAAGGTAAATGGACCTAATGTAATACTTGATTCTTATAATCAATAAGTACTTAATTAATTGCAGAAAAGTACTTAGAAATTATAAACAATGAACATCGGATTATGTCAATAGAAGAATAAATTGATTGGACAATCACTATTCATAACATATATTATATCTTATCTTATATTATGCGTCAACATATACTCTTTGAAGCAATGTAAGAAATATATTATAAAATATTTTCTACTGACCAAATAAGCCAACTACTGACCATGTAAACCACTTGACAATAAATTGTGCAAGAAAATATTGCATTCATTTGAATAGAGGAAAGTTGAGATTACATTTTTTTTTAAACTTTGAAAGAAACAAATAGCTTTTCCTAAATTTTTGTAGTACCTGTACGCCAAAAAACCTGACCACATCCCTGCCAACATTTATTAAAATTACAACTCAACTTACAAATATTATGAAGTAACAGGATATTGGTTCAAAGTAGATATGAATTATGAAACAAGGGAGGAAAAAACAGCTATAGCAAATCTTGCAAAAAAGCTAGTACTTCCTACCATTAAAAACATTTTTAAGCACTGAGCCATCATGATACAATATGTATACACTGGACCATGATAAAGACAGTGAACAAGTCCACATTTAGAGAATCAGCTGCAATATTCACGTTTAACTTCCGGCCAGTACAGTGATTAACTGAAGTAAACACCAAGAGCTAAAAACACTTATTAAACATAAGATCTGATATGATGTTTTGGTGCTTCAGTTTCCTTGCCAAAGTTTGCACAAAGATGCTCCAGCCCTCCATAAAAATGGTTTAAATCACATTTGCTGCCACTCTGTTAACTCAAAAACAATGAGTTAGGCGGCAAAAAAATATTTTTACTTGGTCACTAGGAGAAAATGAATATCCCTCCAAATAAAAATGTGTTAGAAATTCCAGATGATAAATTCTTGTACAAATGTGCTAGATATACTATCTGAAAAGCTATTGTACAGATGTACTAAAAATGCCAATGAATAAGCTCTCGTACAAATGCAATAGATATGCCAGTGGATAAGCTCTTGTACAAATGCAATAGATATGCCGGAGGATAGGCTCTTGTACACGTGTATCGGTTCCATTAAAGTTTAGGCTGAGCTGTCATTGTAAGGTGTGGCTGTCACATTTGAAGAGCCAGAGATCTCAGAGTAACATAAGGCGTGTTCAGGTGTCAACATAAAGAAGTACATACACATGAGCAGAATGTAGATAAACACCACAATTGATCCTGTAGAACAGAAATAAAAAATTGACAGGTTTCAGTATAGACACAGGACTATAAAAAATTGGAGCAGAAATATAATATTAAAAGTTTTAGAATAGACACAGAGCTGTTAAAAAATGCATCTGTCCGAATGATATACTTTTAAAATTTTTTTAAAATTCCTTCAGTACCATACATTATTTAAATTTAATGAACCCAAATCAAAAATCATTTTTCATTCATTAATTTTTTTTAAAAAGAGGCAGTCTTCTACTTCTAATTTAGAATTGAAATAGATATTTTCAAGAAAGAAAACGGATATAACTGAATAGTGTAGGGATGAGTTTAATATTCATAATTCATTTGTACCCTGACATTTCTTCGGAGAAGGCACTCAAATGTGTCAATTATTCACCTTAAAGATGTAATTCTGGTTACTATTATTACCTTGGAAGTAATCACTTTTTCCATCTTGAAAAATGTAGTTGATGATGACCACAGAAAAAATGACCGCCCAAAGATGGATGTCATTAAACACAACATAAAATCCCATGGGCTAGAAATGAAAGAAATGTCAAATTAGACACAAAGACTATTTTACATTGTATCATAACAATGATGGACAATGGTCAACTGTTAAATTCTTTTTCTATTAATTCTTCTTCTATATATTTCTGCACTAAAAACATATCTATTTAAATTATACTACCCTGACTGATTCCCCTCCTCTGACCGATAAATGATCTTGCTGGTTGCCGTCCATGGTTTGCCTTGTAAAAGTTATGTGGTGGGGTGGGTGAATATACATTGCTGTACTTTATTTCATAAATGTATTTTATTTTAATGTCATGATTATGTCTCTTTTGATAAATTTTTTATATACAGCGCGGTGAGCCCAGCCCTAGGCTGGGGTACCGCGCTATATAAGACCTCTTATTATTATATTAAGGGCCCATGATCAATTTATGGATCTTTTGGCTCCTATGCATGTAGAGGGGATTTGCAATGTTTCTGTGTCTGGTGTTGATGAGGATACTTCACTGGTTACAAGGGCTACTCAGTGAGGGTATCATGCACGGGGGGGGGGGGGGGGTTGGAAGGCTTGAGGCAATAGACGCTAATGTGTCAAGTGTTGTCGCCTCAACTGTTCCTTTTGGAAGCTTGTTCCAGTCCTTGATTGTTTTTGGCAGGAATAAGCTGTTCCTCTACTGGGTTCTTGCTGGTATGCGCCAGAACTTCCTGTCATGGCCTTGTCGCTGTCTATCAGGGAGAGGGACGAGTTGCTGTTTAATGCTGGATCAGTGGACCAGCCCATTATTTACTTTGTACATAATGGAGAGCCTGGATAGTCGTCAGCGTTCCTCCACTAAAGACCAGTCTGTGTTTCCAGCACGCTGCCAACACTAGAGGTATTCCTGTAGCAGTCCAGGACAAAGCGTGCTGCCCGTCGCTGGACGGCCTCCAACCTGTCGATGCTCTTCCGGTTAAATGGGTCCCAGACTGAAGATGCATAATATAAAAGCGGACGGGCAAAGACTTTATAGGTTCTTTCTTTCAGTTGCGGATCTTTAGATTACGCCTTAAGAACCCCAGGGTCTTGTTTGCCTGGTTGCACACATTGTTAATATGCTCATCCCAGCTGACCTCTCTTTGAATGGTAACAACCAGGTACTTTATGGAGGAAACTGGCTCAAGTATATGGCCATGCAGTTCGTAAGCGTGGTGTAGAGGAGTACAACTTCTAGAGACTGACAGTGTCTGGCACTTGGCAGGGTAAAATTCCATGTCCCAGCTCATCTTCTACTCAGCTAACTGATTGAGATCCTGTTGTAGCTGGTCCTGGTCAGATCTGTTGGTGATCGTCCTATACACCGCGGTGTCATCTGCGAACAGTCTTGCTTGGGATGTCAGTTTCTCAGGAAGGTCATTAATGTATGCTAGGACTTGGAACCAACAGGAGCCTGGCACTGATCCCTTGGGGACCCCTGACTTAACACCGACAAAGGAGGAGCTTGTATCATCCACCAATACTGTTTGGCATCGGTTGCTGAGGAAGCTACAGATCCATGCTTTAGTGGTGCCTTGGATCCCATATCTCTGAAGTTTTTGTAGAAGCAAACTATGATTGACACGGTCAAATGCCTTTGAGAAGTCCATCACCAGCACTTCAGTTTGCTTGTTGTTCTCCAAATTAGTCATCAAATCTTCTACAAATTCAATGGGTCTCACATGATCTATCGACTCGGAAGCCATGTTGACAGTCATTGAGTATATTTTGGCTTTCAAGATGCTTCATGACTGCGCTTATGATTATGGGCTCCAACAGTTTGCATACCACGCTGGTGAGGGATATTGGACGATAGATGGCAGGGTCGGAATGCTCCATTTTCTTGTAGATTGGAAGAAGATTCTCAGTGCAGGAGCGATTTCTTTGGCTAATTCTTTGAGCACTCGTGGTTTGATGTTGTCAGGACCACATGCTTTGTAGGGGTTAATGGTTTTGAGGAGGGCAAGCACACCTTGCTTGTTGATTTATAGGTTTTATCAAATAAGCCTAACCCTAGCCCTAACCCAGCCATTACATCACTTCCCCAACCATTACATGGAATCAGCAGCATACCCTACCAGAACCAGAAAAAAAAAAGTATGTCTTCCACTTGAAAATAGATTTGTACCAAAGCCAGGTTTTTTACACTATTGGTGCCTATTTATTATTGCACACCACTTACTTTAAGCCTGTGTTATCGTTTTACTTACATAAATGAGATTCACCAAGACCAAAAGAGGAATCTGGACCAAACACACTTGTATGGCGGTAGAACAGCCAATTTCAATTCTGAATGATACATTGGGTAGGAAATACTTTAAAAAATTAATCTCATCTTTCTGTAACGATATAGTAAAACATGATTAACATAAATAGATCAGTTCCTTATTATAAAAACAATTTTTCTTTTCTTTTGTTGATTTATTAGCAAACGGCCATTTTATACATTCATATTGGGTATTCTAACTTTAGAAGAAAAAAATATTTCCGAAAGGAAAAACAATTTTTAAAAAAATTAGATAAAATTTATTTCTAAAAGATGTATGAAACTATTTATTATGAATAATAATTGAGAAAGAAAGATATTGTATAAATAATATAATAAAATGGATAAACAATTTAAATTTATTAATTTAAAATTGAGTACCCAAGATTGACATTATTTTGCAAAGCGAATTGGACTCCATTGACAACCTCCGGCAACTCAGCTACAAGTGATAACATAGTCACCCCAATGAAATACTGTCAAAAGAAATATATGATAATAAAAATGTGACAACAAAAACATAGTACCGGTATTATAATATTGTCAATAGAAACATGAACTAAAGAAGCCAGATTTTGTATTTTTCTTTCTTTAGAAACATGAACTAAAGAAGCCAGATTTTGTATTTTTCTTTCTAAAATTGCCCATGGATGTATTTTTGGGGCAGCTTGCAACTGTTTGAACAATAAATAGAAAAGATAAGATCTTTATTAATCCCAGACATTGGGGTGAATAAATAATGCATTAATTGTTCTGTTACTTGTCATTTTCTCTGACAATAAATAAGAAGAAATACATTATACCCACCTCTGATATTCCCGATGACTCTAGTAAAGGCTGGATGTTCTCAGAAATTAGTTCAGCACAGAGGGCTATGGCCACAGCACAGAGCAGAAGTATGATGGTGCTTTTCAGCCTTGACCATTGGGCATCACCATGCTGGCCTGCAAATGACAGAATCCTGATCAAGTTATGTACCAAAAAAAAATATTTATCAAGGTATGTACCGGTACTGGTATCTACAGTAAAGTCATGTAAGTGTAAGTGATTCAATGTGAATTAAAATTGATTCCATCAGCAAAATACATGCAGGTTACATTAATATTTTATCTGACCCTGGATAACTGTTCTCTGACTCCTAAGGACTATCTTCTAAACACAAACTGATGACATCATCAATAGCAGAGTTAAAGTCTAATTCTGAATAATAAAAAAAAATTGTTTAAATAGTATTTTTGCTCTGTTTCATAACAATGGGTTTCACTTGAACAGCATTTCAGTGGAATTTTTATTAGCCCTGTTGATGGAAATCCTCTTTTTAGGGCAGCATTTTCAATGAAGACATTCAGCAAACTTCTGATTGATATTTACTTTGACAAGGATACTAGATCAATCCTTTCTGCTTGTGACATCATTGATCCCATATTAAGAGTTGTACGAGAAGCATTCCTTGAGTAATTTAGCGAGGTATTCTGCTCCTAGAGAAAACATCACAGCAGGTGAGCAACTGGTTGGTTTCAGAGGTCAGTGCAGATTTCTTCAATATATGCTAAGCAAGCTCGACATATATGGAATAACAATCTTCTGGGCCTGCGAATCGACTTCAAACTATTCTCTGAGAGGCTACCCATATCTCGGCAAAGAAAATGCAAGTGCCCTGCCAGAAAAGAGAAATGTTAAAATATCCCCAGAGACTGTGATTTCTCTCACAAGGGACTTCCACGGACATGGTCGCAATTTCATTCCCCTACAACTTGTAGAATAAATGGCCAAGAACAGACTCACCATATTTTGGAACAGTGAAATGGAATAAGATGTTCCTACCCAAGGGGTTTAAGCAAAAGAAGGCTCTGGCCCTAAACAAATAAGTGTTTTTGTTCAGACTATAAACAACCTTGTCAAATACCAGAGCTCGAAGCAGAAAAATGTATTGCCCATGAACACAATACACAGTCGTCCAGAAATAGAAAATGAAACTGAATGCAAGAAACCAGAGATTGTGCTCTGTAACAACAAAATCAAAGGCGGCATATTGGCCAATAGACCAAATGGCGAAGGTGTTCTCTGTGGATACAAAAAACTAAAAGTAAAAGATAGCCTTTAGTTGTTTTTTTCAACATTGTTGACTTAGCGTCACTTGCAGCAAGAGTGGCATTTAAATATAAATAACAGACTAACTCACTGTCTCATGAAGACAAAAGACAGTCAATATTGACGTTGCACATTTCCTCACCCTTCCGCAATAAGAGATGATCCGTCCCGATGCATCAAGATATTGTGAGGCAGAATACCACCAGTGTTTTGAAATCTTTACCAACACTTCAAACAGCTGCCCAAACCACTTCAACTTGGCTAGTTTTTTAGACATATTTGCAAAAAACATTCTGTAAAAACTGTGCAAGTTCAGCTGCAAAGCTCCTAATTTCCATGTGTCCTTATGACTGTTCTGCTTTGAAATGGTTTGTCAAGTTGAATACGTGTTATTATTGTTGGTACAGTACCCACATGCATTCAGAATATTTATTTATTGTAAAAATTTAAAATCTATTTTATGGATTACACAGACTCAAATGCCCGGTAATTAACAAACAACAACATGTTTACAAGCCAGTTTACTTTTTTTTTTCTTTTATTAAATTATGCACGGGTGTGTTACAACCAGTTGATAGGGACAGTAGAAAAAAAGATTAGGCCCCCAAAAATAAGTCACTTTCACATGCTTTATACAAGTGGTTCTCAACCTTCCTAGTGACGTGATCGTTTAATACAGTTTCTCGTGTCGTGGCGACCCCAAGCCACACAATTATTTTCGTTGCTACTTCATAACTGTAAGGATATGTGTTTTCAGATGGTCTAAGGAAACCCCTGGGAAAGAGTTGCGCGAACCCCCAAAGGGGGCAGGACCCACAGGTTGAGAACGACTGCATTATACAATTGCATCAACCAAGGCGTTCATTCCAACTAACCTTGTGGATTAGGTGGTGTATGAGAAAGATTATTGAAAGGTGACTCAAGGTATCAGCAATCACAGTCTGTCTCTGGGTGTATTACATCCAGTTGCGACAGAAAGGGTTAAAACAATGTGAGCATACCACTGGTATTACCAAACTTCAAATGAAGTGTAAATAAAAAAATACTAGTAGCGAAGAATAGCATAGATCTAAAAAGTGTAACTTACCATTGATAGAGATCTCCTCCTTCATTTCTCTCTCAAACTCCTCAAAAATAAACTCTGAATGTGTCTTCATGGTGAATACCAAGCCAATGATGTAGGAAATTGGCAAAATAATGGAGATGGCATAAACAAGAGGTTCAATGTGTTTTGTGTAAAGACTTCTGTCACCGTGAAGGCCCATCTAGGGAATATAAATTACTATTAATTTCTGTTGTAAAAGTTAAACCTGTGCTTTAGATTTTTTTTTCTTCAATACCGTTTGGATGACTTTCGGTACCGTACATAACAAATAACGAATAAAAAATAATTAGCAGGTTTTTATTTTTTTAAATCATTTTTACACTTCATAGATGTAGTTTTTTGATTGATAAAACTCCACATACAAAAATATTCAGTATGAATATGTTTTACAACATACTGAGATGAAAGTCATGAGCACAGTATTTTAAAACAAGTATCTGATATGATAAATGTAGTAAAATTTCAGTAGAAGTAGGCAAAGACTCCCCCATAAAAGTTTTCAGTTAAACCTAGCAAAGAGTTCTCATTAAACCACTTAGTTGAACCTACTAAAGAGCTCACATAAAACCTATCAGATCAACCTACCAACGACTGCTCACACTGCTGGCAAAGGAAACCAGCTGAATCATTGAGTACAGTTGGGGCAGCCACATCAGCTCTCTCTGTAATGAATTGATCGTATATACGTTCACATCCCATACAGCGCAGGCTGCCAAAAACTTTTGAGAAGATAGTTGGTGCGAACACACCTGGAAAATTATGTTTTGATTTTAGGCATCTATTGGATTATGAGATCACAGTTACATATGATATTTATTTAACAAGGGGCTCTTCACAGCCAATTAATATTATTGGAAACACCCATGCTAAATAAAATGTTTTTTCCTTTGAAATTATCAATTATACTAGATATAGCCCTCCAAACATTGGAGACGGCAATGCGTGAACTTCCCATCTAGTAAAGTTACTTGACAAAACATGAACTCAAGTAACGCACATTTAAGGATCGCAATATTTGCTACATCCCTTCCCCCCATGATACGTCACTGCACACTTTTTATTTCATGCCCATGACATATATAAATATTCTCATGTCCCAACCACTTTTAAACTGAATGTTTTTTACACAATACTTAAATTGAGACGATGTCATTTCCGTGTAGTTATAGGGAATTTTATTTTGCACGCTACTGAACTCATTATTGAACCACACTCTGGCCTATCTATAAATAGCCTGCGTGGTGTTTGAAACGTGTTGGTTTTTTACTTTTGCTGGCGAATTATTTATATAGATATTTTATGAATAATGATTAACTTAAATATTTTTTTTGCAAAATGAAAACATTAAAATGGTAATACTGAAATTATTTATTAACTATGTTAAGCCGGATGAACATGTATTTAAACTTACCAACTACGGCCACAAACAAAAGAGAAGCACTAATGTTGGCTGACTTGGGATTGAACTTTTGGTTTCTGAATTTCAATCCACCTGTTACCATAGAAATGCCCTGTGAAATGATCGATTGGTGATTTCAAAACATAGAGCAAATCCATGAGTTTTATGGACTAGAGCAGGGGTCGGGAACCTTTTTGTCTGAGAGAGTCATGGAAACCACATATTTTGAAAAGTAATTCTGTGAGAGCCATATATTATGTTTATAACTAAAAATTCAAGTAAATGTGTGCATTTTGTGTAATTTTCAACACTAGAAATGCAATAAATATGTCTCTGAAATCTTTTTAATGACATTGTTATGTTGTTGCTAATCAATAATGAGTATTTCTTACCATTAATGCGACTTTTTTTTTAATAATCCAACATTTGTCTGCGAGCCAGATGCAGCCATCAATAGAGCCACATCTGGCTTGCGAGCCTTAGGTTTCCGACCCCTGGACTAGAGACTAGTTATAGATCAGTAGTTCTTAAATTTTACTCTTTTAGAGAGGGGAGGGCAAGAGTTTTCTCCTTATATAAACTAGTTTATTGGAACTCATACCAATATATGTTTCATGAATACAAACTATTCTCAAGCTTCATAATGCCATAACTATAAATAATAAGGGCCTTAACATTCTAAAAATAGCCAAAACATTAAATTTCTTTCACTTGTAAAAAGGAAACAATTTACATCAACATGTAGCAATTTACAAGATAGCAAGTAGCTTTGAATTTACAATTCTTAAAATACATAAACCATGATTGGATCAGTAAAAATCAATAAAGATACCTGCTAACTAAATTTTACTTACAGGTATAAACAGGATGCTGCAGAGAATGGCACCTGAAAAGAGTTGTCAGTTAATTTAAGCAATGATATTTGGCTTTTTTTTTTTTTTTTTTTACAAACCAATAACACATAAATACAAACCAAAATTTAACGTAAGTTGAATCATTTTCATCATCTTCCCAAAATTTATCTTATAATCTTGCATAACAAAAAATAAAATCTCAAATGTAAATGTAAAATAAGAGTTGTCAGTTAATTTAAGCAATGATATTTGGCTTTTTTTTTTTTTACAAACCAATAACACATAAATACAAACCAAAATTTAACGTAAGTTGAATCATGTTCATCATCTTCCCAGAATTTATCTTATAATCTTGCATAACAGAGAATAAAATCTCAAATGTAGATGTAAAACATTGAAAAACATTATGTAATATTTGCCATGGAAATTTTGGGAGGTTTCAATAAGTGCACAAGTTGTGCCACAATTAGCCCCTGTTGTATTTAAACGGTACTTGTAACTATTTGTTTTCAAAAATAAATATTTTTTAGTGGGGGGTGCACACATGAAAATCTTAGACTCCTTTATCATATGATATGCCACCTAAGTATTATGATGATTCTATGAAAAAGAGGGTTGGCATTGGCAGGGGAAATAATCAGGCAATCCTTGTGCCCCTTTTCCTTATTTGTTTCCAGTTTGTAAAATAATTAAAAGTTGACAACTCAAAAGTGGTCATAGTTCAGTGCCTTTTGCCTTGTCATCATTTCTTGAATTTCCACTGACCAAGCAAACACCTGAATCTAACAGTACCATCACAACAATCCTGTTTCACTGACCCAATAACGAAGCAAATGCCTGACTCTAAGAGCACCATCATGACAAACCTGTAAGGGAAGATTTCACCAGCTCCTGGTAGCACTCCTGGTCAGAATCTTTGCCTTTCTTTAACATAATAATGAAGAGAATGACTTCCACCATTGAGCCAAATGTTGCATTGAGGATAGCGCCAACAGCAAAACTGCTCTGAGCTGAAATACTAAGCGGTAAAAAATAAATTTAAAAACCTAATTTAATTCTTAGACAATAGCTTCATGATTAAAAAGTGAGAGAATATTCATGAAACTATTCTGTTAAAGAGAGTAGATTTTTACAATTATGAAACTTTTATTTATTTTTTAATGAAAATGAAATTCTAACTTGCTAGGGGCAATATGCACTTGTTTTAGTGCAACATTTAAGTAATTTTAAATGAAAAATGTTACAAAACAAAATAAGGAATTTTTAAAAATACAAATAATAATGAGATACATAACAATGATTTATGGATAAAATATAACAAAAAAATTATTTAGAATTAGCATAAACAAACCTGGTGATGGCCATGCCAATGTAATAAGTAAGGGGGATAATTGCCAGCACACTCAAGATGCATTTCTGAGAAAAGAAAAAAAAGGTATTTAAACACAATGATCAGCTAAAGATTGTCCTATTTTATTAAAGCAAAACAAATGGACTATACATTTAACTTATTCAAGCACACACAAAAATTAGGAGGGAAAAAAAATAGAATACAAAAATATTGGGAAGAAAAATTGGTCAGTGGCGTCTCTGATAAGCTGGAGAAGCAACTAATCTCCTTTAAATGCTTTAGAAAACTCACAATATTTATCAGTGTGAAAACAAAGGAAATATTCCAGTGCTGCTTTTTTGTTTTAAACTGTACAAGAATTTTCACTCACTTAAAATCAGAGTTGAACATGTAGACATGAAATCAACAGTCTTATTTAAAATTCAATAAGACTTTTCAAATAGTGATAAGAAATGCTCCACCTCTGATAAAAAAAATTCCACTTCTGATACAATAAGTAGGTTCAAATCTTTTTATCTTGATGACTCACTTATAAACCACTCCAACTCTTGAAGTACATTACATCATCAGATGGACAGCTGAGAACTGTCAACAAATGATAACACTTGTTTGGAGATGAATTCCATGTGAAATATCCATATCAGTGAGATGATGTCATAACTCAGTCATTGTTCAGGTGATGTATTAATGTAACCTCCACGTTCTTATCATTTCATTTTTTTAAATTTAAAAGTTTCTTAGAAACTCTTTTTGGATAAATCACACAAAGTGGGAACTATCTAAAATTGAACAATAAAGAAATTAAGTTTACTTGACCTTAATAATTAGATGCACCCTTATCTATGCCAGGTTTATCTATAAGCTACAGCTGAGGACCTCACTATATTTAAAGTATTTCTTTGACCTGATATAATTTAAAATGACAGGGGGCCCTGCACTTTCTATAGCTTTGGTCATCTGCACTTTCTATAGCCTATGGACTTTCTATAGCTTGGGGCCCTTAACAATTCCAAGTCCAGACCTGGCCCTTATATGTAGAGAAAACTAATTAATCGTTTTTCTCTAAAAAAAAAATAATATTTTCAGTTAGGCCAGTGGCAGTAATTATATTTTTCTCGGGTGTTGAGACTTTCTGGATGTAACACGGACATAGCAACACATTACTTTTCATCTGCATCTATTAAAACATCCAGTCGCACTTACTGTTACTCCACTGATGATGCTGTCATCCACAGCGTATCCAATAACAATGGACAAAATTACAAAAATCAGCAAATCTTGGTCATTGAGTTAATTAGCGATAACAGAACTTATTTGTTGGTGAAAGAAAGGCGGAGGAAGAAAAGAAATCCAAAAAGTAATTTTGATATAAATTAAGTTCTTTCCAACTGAATGGACCATAACTCTTGTCCCTTTTCACTCAAGGGTGTTTTTAGCAAAATAATTTTAATGGTATTCCATGCTTGACAAAGTAGACTTTTAAAATTTTGTTTCTTTATTCCACAGGCTCTTGTTTCACTTGAGCTGCTAATACAAAATATTCCAAAAGTATTGTTTATTCATTGACCATTTTGGTTCATAGAAAAATTGTTTACACCTCAAATTTTTTTTTTTCTGAGAGAAAAGATAGGTAACATTGAAGAATTTGAATGTTAAAAAATAGCAGTTGTATTAATTATACTACCAAAAAAATCTTATGATTAAGAAAAACATTGCAATGGAGTTGTAACTACAGACTAAAGAAAGAAAAAGACATGGTTTGGACAGGCGAGAAAAAAAGGATACTGGCCAAGATAACATTGACCCCATCCACAGTGTACTTGTAATAGTATAAGTTGACACTTTGATGTGAGTACATGATGATCTCACTTAATTGACCACTGCCATCCTGGTAAGGGGAGAAAGTTAAATGTGATGGTTAAGTAAGTAATGAAGTAAATGAGCAGGTGATTCAAAGACCAAATGAAGGAAGCATTATGTTTCTGTAAAATGTCTCAATGTCATAAGACACAAAATCAACAGCAAAGAAATGGCCAATTTTAAAAGTGAAAATGTCAGTTTTTTTAAGAATAGATGTTAATAAAATTTATCAAATTACTGTTTCACTTACACAATTATTTTGGATGACTTAAATCTTACCACAAGTACAAGTAAATTTTATTGACAACGTTTCAAAATTTTACAAATTTGTATTACTTACAGTTTCTTAAATCAAAGTAATTAAATACAGACACATATCGCAGTAAGTATCTATGGGTGGATCCAATTGTTATAGTACAAAATTGTTCTTAATTATTTTATTATGAAAACTGACAAAGTTAAGTAAACTGCAACAATATGTTCATATTCTTAAATGATGAATTTGAGTTAGCAACAAAACAAAAGCAAAATAAAATAAAGTAACTCACAATGTTAGCATAATTTGTATTTAAAATTTTCACACTATCAGGAGGCAGGAAAAGAATTTTGGTCATGGCTTTACTGTTGAGCTGTAGTGGTGAAAAATATATGTAAAAATTAACACAAATCTTCAGCCTTTTTAGTTTATTGCAGAAGTAGATGCATTAGGCAAATTGTGCTTTGATTTTTTTTTTTAAGTTTAAGAAATGTTAATATCTTTCTGGTTTCTTAAGTTTGGAAGAAAAAAACTTTGCAATAAAATATTTTATTAAATAAAAATTGTAAAAATATCAAACAAAACAGAAAATGATCTCAATAATATTATTCATAGTTACTAATTTGTTGACCATCTATAAAAGGGAATTCATAAATAACAGAACTATAAATAGACAATTTTGGTCAGAATAGAATGGTAATTAGTTATAATATATACAGGTTAAGTTAGAATTACGTCTCACCTTTGCGGTTGGTATGGAAATAACAAAGAACCAAGAGACTAGCCATACAATAGAGTGCACTACAAAAATAGGAGGTATCCCAAGTACCAGCCAAATATATGAAGCTGGTTTTTCCTTAAAGATGGAAACATTAAATTTGTATTTTTTTGCTTTTGACTTGTAAAAAAATAGTTTCAAAAGTAAAAAAAGTGCTATTTTTAAAATTACCATACATATTCCTTAATTATTTGCAAAATGCTGTTAGCCAGATCTCTAATAACACTAAATGATAACTAGTTAATATCCTTATATGCCAGCTATTACTTTATAATTTATTTTTAATTTGACTTTATTTGATTCAAGTATAGTTGATCAACACATAAAAGTCACTGAAGTGCTTGAATTAAGTTTATTTTAAGATTCTTTTTTTTTTACCCAGAATCCCCAGCAGCATGGTTCTTTCTCTTTGCTCTTTTGATGATGGTCTAGCAAAGAACTTGTTTCTCCTAAACCATCTCTTAGAAACTGTCCATCTAAGCTATCCACTTTTTCATTCGCCTTCTTGTAAGAAACTACAGGCTTCTTCGAAGTGTGCACCTTGCAACAAACAAGAGTAATAGTTAAAGCATGATGATAATAACTTTCAAGGTAAACATTTATTATCTAAATCATACATTTTTAATATGGCATTAATTATGGCCCTAAATCACCAAAGCAAAATAGATGCAGCTTTTGGACACTGCTGTCTCAGAAAATTGTCATTAAAAAAAATGAAAGTTATATGCTAATTTCTATTCATGTTGGTAATGTGTTTGTTGTGATTGAAAACTGAAAATTATACTATTCAAAACTTTGCTAATTTGTTGAATCTTTGTTGAAATTTAGTATAATAAAAATTAAACCTACCTGGTAGACATACTTTCCAAAGGGCCAGAAAAAATAATCAGCCAATCTCCAAGAGAACTTAGCTGAAAGGTAAAAAGCATAACATCATATAATATTTTCATGCTGACAGTAATAATGTACAGATCAACGGCCTAAAATGCTTTCCCTTTTGTATATATATATATTTAAAAAATCTTAAAGCATTTAAGCCACAGTGCACATATTTAAATGCACAAATGAGAATTTATGTGTAAAAAAAAAAATGTTAAAATCCAACTTAAAATGTAATAAACATTTAAAATTCTTACCATATGGCAGACCCACAAAGGTAAGAGCCATAATCATTCCAATAAGGATGTAGGCAAGAGACAACCACCAGCCAAACAACAGGGTGTATAGGATGTTAAATACTCCAAAGGTGGACACTGAGTTGATGACAAAAGTTTAATAAGTTAAAAACTTTAGAAGGAGAAATGATTTAAAATAATAACTTAAACTTAAAGATTGTTCTTTAAAAAAAATTAAACATTAATTACTCAACATTATTCCCTACTTTGTTCAAATCTATTATTGCATGTTAAATATGTAGTTATATTTAAGTATTAACAAAAAAATAAGCAAATATAAATTTCTTCTTTAATTTTTACATGCCAAAAACAAAATTTGAAATAAATCATAAGTTATAAAATTACAAAAAAATGCAATTTTTCTATAATGACATTTTTGTACCTTTCTTAAGTGTCTAAAAAGAGATTGATTTTTTGTTTGTTTTAAACTTAATTTTTTTCTTTTCAGCTCTACTCTTTCAAAACTATTCTTTAACATTCAATACATGCTAAAAATATTTATGTTACATGAGACCTTTTACTTCTTGCAACTTGCTGATATCTGAATATAGATCTTGAACAATCTCAGAACGAGTCATAAGTGGACGGGCTGTCACATGACCTTTCCATTTCTTGAAGCCGAACTAAAAAAGGACGAAATATTTGTTTTAATTTACTTTTCAAATATGTTAACCTAACACAGAACTTTACAAAAAAAATAAACTGAAAGAAGATTACTTTTCTAAAGAAAAAAAGGAGAGATTTAACCTTATCTAGGGCATGAACCCGAAGGGGAAATGAGTTAAAATGTTAAAAGGTATCTAAAAGTCACTAGCTCCAGTAACATTCATTCCCATTCTTAAGATATTCTTAATTAGAACTGTTTTATTTATGAGTATTGTCTCAGTGTACTTCTGTCTTAGCGACTGAGGGAAGAAAGTAAATTTGCGGTGAGTTTTGAAATGTTTCACACACTGATTGTGTTTGCTGTGGACTTTATATAAATTTTCTCTGAACTGAACAGTTCTTTTGTGCAAAAGATCTACACACATGTGCAACAAAACATTAAAAAAATTAATCAATGAATTTTTTTGTAAATTAATGATGTAACATTTTACACGCACTAATGAAAATGAAAACATTAGGTACAGCTATACCACACGTACACAGGCGTGTGTATATGCCTCATTTAAATGCCAATAATCAGAGAAGAATCTTGTCTTTTGAAAAAATTTACATGCAGGTTTTTTATCTTAAGGCAACAATATTAAGAACACAACATCACTAATCTCACATTCAGATAATTTATGGTTACTAATACCAAACAAATTAATAAGAAGGCTTACCACTTTACATATAAGGATACTATAAAATCTTAACTTCAAACTCAGTACTTGGAATAAAAAGTGTTAAATTGTGATGTAAACTCATAAATCTAATGACACTGAAAATCTAAACATTTTGAAATTTTGCTCATTTTGTTATATTTCAAATAATAGAAAACATTTAAACTTTACACTAGTGTTTTTAGTTCTTGGTTGACAACATAAACTTCTACAACACAGAATTTTAGATGTTAATGTATTCATTGTTGCATACAGCTATGACTAATGAGTTGGGAATTGTATAGATTAACCACATGAAATGTGTTTGAATTTAGCTGCTGATGCAGATAGCACTTTCAGGCCTGTTTACTCTTGGGTTAATGTCACAGTAGTTTTCAGCTCTCAAAGATATAGTTTCAAGCTCCAAAGAGTATTTTGGTCAATTGGGTGTGTGTGTGTGTGTTGTATGCAATCAAAATACAAGTTGTGTAAGAAAATCCACTCCACTGATTATGTAAGTTAACACAAATAAGTATATAGCATATTGTCCTCTGATTTTTTTCTTTAGGAAGAGAAAAGGTCTTAGGCTTGCACACTGGCAGTTAAGTATTCATAATGCAATACTCTAAAAGAGAAATAGGTTGGTTCTTTGAGATCGAGACCCCAATCACTGTTATTCTTATTTGATTGCATAACCTAATTTTAAAATTTAAAATAAAACAAACAAGCAAATAAAAACAGAATCAGTAGTTTGAATAGGCTCGTCACGGTGCCTTAGTCTTAGGCTTTAAAACATAGTTACTACAGCGAAAGCATAGGGGTAAACAGGTCTGCACTTTACAGATCATAATTTTTTTGCTGGTATGGTTTGTATGATAGTATAATGAAAAGGTATTTAACTGAGCTCTTTAAAGCAGACCTGCACAACTCAAAATGTAAGATGGGCCGTAATACTTTATGAAAAACTTATGTGGGCAGAAAGATAATAGGACGGTGTGGGGAGGCGGCTTTTTATAAATTAAGAAAATCGGATAGATCATTTTTAAAGATTTTTTGTTCTACTAGCAAATCCATGGGGGATGTATGTTTGTAACATTGCAGCCTAATTTGTAGTTGTCACACATGATTTACAGTTTAAAATTTTCATATTAAACAATATTGATATAAAATTTAAAAAAAAATTTTTTAAACTTTTTTTAAAAAGACTTAGTTTGAAGAAGAGTTTAAGTCCACTTAAAAGTAGAAAATAATGTTCTTAAAATTCATTAGCAAAGAAAGTGCAGAAAGTTTTTTCAAAAATAAAAGAAAACAAAACACATTTCTATTTCTTTTATTTATTTTTTAAAAAAATACTTGGGCTTCATAGAGTGCATAACTAACCAAACCCTTCTGCACAGACTTTCTTTAAAGAATGAATTTTAAGAAAATTGTTCTCTTTTTCTTTAGTGATTTTAAACCTGTCTTTTTTAAAAGCTTTTTTATTATTATTTATTTTTTTATTTTCTAGTCTGTAACAAGACAAGAACTAAACATGAGATTACCTTGATTTTAAAGAGTTATCCAGAGGCATTTGTGATTAAGAAATTACCTTATAATTGTTTGAAATTCTATTGGCTTCAATTGAATTTTCTGCTAAGGCATAACTTCTCTCACACTCTGCCTCTGCTTCAGTAGAACTCTTCCTCAAAGTATCTCTTCGTGATCGCAGAGATGAGCTAAACTGGTCATTTTTCCGACCGTCTGTTTGATCCCCAGTGATAATTGCTGGCATGCCATTGTTTTCACTACCAAATGGCCTGTTATGATGATTAAAGCTGGTTGGGGCGGAAACCTTAGGGTTTGGAAAATCTGCTGGTCCAGCTTCCCTTACAGGGTTATCCATTTAGAAATTTTTTTTAGCAACAGCTAAATTAAAAAAAAACAAAACAAATGAACATGTTAGTGTTTAGAGGGTTACAACAACAAGACAAGTGTAAAAATAAAGAAAAAAGATAAATATTACATTTTTTTGTGATGAAATGCCAACACACTTCAATAATTTAGTTCTTCAAGTAATCCTGTTCTACCCAGTGGAGTAGTTAGATTTTGTGATCCCAGCTCGGTCCTTGACATACCCCCCACCCAATAAAAACAACAACCCCAACACATAAAAGATAATCCATATATCATAGATCACATGGACTGACAATGCTCCCCCCACCACAAAAAAAGGGCCGTCCTGGGGCAGACCACCCCTACTCTTCCTAAGCAAGTGGGTCCAGCATACCTCTTGGATAACTAGCACATGTCAAAAGACAAATGTCATACAAGGAGCAGACCTTTAAATTTCACCCTCTAGCACCTCATGCAGCTAATTAGATCCCTAAAAACTTGACTAATGACAACCCACAAAGATTAAACCACCAGCATGTGTTAATTCTTACAGCTGCTATAATAAATGCCACAGAATTCATAGCTGGCAATTTGTCATGCTTCTGAAATGCGAGATCATGTTCGAACAACATTATTAAACTTAAGTTTAAATTTAATTCATTTGAGCTTCAAACAGTATAACTCAATTGGTCATATTCTATTTATATCTCAATTTAAGGAATACACAAAAGATGGTTATTTCAGTTATAAATGAAAGCAACTTATGATATCAATAAATTATAACAATATGTTGATAACAGTATTATATTTGTTAAAAAAAAAAAAATTCTCTGCAAATTCTATTATTTTTATAATAGATCTTTAAAAATATTTATAATATTATTTGTAAAAATTTAACAATAAGGAGAGAGAGGGTATGGATGTAAGGGTCAAGGGGGAAAGGAAAATGATAATGGGTTAATTTAGCCAGGAGAAATTAAATATATGTTTTGGAAATATGTATTTTGGAGATAGGAATGGTGATGTTGGGAAAGGGATGTTGTTTTTAATAGTTATATTTAGTGCATATGAAGGTAAATGTATATAAAATACATGGGCAAGCTCAGGGCTGAATGAGAATTGGTGTGGGTGAGGGAAGCAGGAGGTATACCTATGCTGCAGAGGTAATTATAGCTCTGGAACCAGCTCCCCTTCCATATCCGTCATTGTGAAAACTCGTCCACTTTTAAAAAGTCCCTTAAAACCCATCTGTTTAGGTCCGCCTATGACCTGTGATGCACCCTCCTTGCCCTGCCTCAATTTCTGTCTCGGGTTGATCCTGTAGTATAGGCCAAAACGTGCCAAAGTGTCCTCGTTTTATAGCCATTTTAATTGTTTCTATAGTATAGTAGTTACTATCCTAGTGTCTCATTTTTATTTACTTAGTTTAAATGTTTTTAATACTTGTAAAGCGCTTAGAGCTTTAAGGTAAGCGCTATATAAAAAATGCCTAAATAAATAAATAAATGGCAGAGATTTTTCTAAGAATCATAACAAAATTTTTGTACAGAACGCCCTGACATTGTTATAGGCCACACTGACAAGATACCCGTGGTCTTGTAACTTCTTGTTGAGTAAATTCATCTCCTATGAAATGTCAACAAGAAAAGCCAAGTCTATGAGCCATTTGGGATCAGTTAGTACTGGATCAACCACCACATCCTTCTCATGAAGGCTTTGAAGACTAAAACGTGTTCAACCAGTAGGCAGTAGCAGGCACTATTCATAAATCATTGATGCGAAGGAAGATGCTATTGTAGGGAGAATGAATTTTGATTTTTAGACTAAACCTATTTTGAAATTGATCAAGCTGTCGGTCGGAATTTAACTCACTCGTAAACACTATCAGCAATTTTAATATGGGACTCTTTGAAACTGTGTCAGATTGCTAAGATTTATACAATTATGGTTGTGCATTACCGACCAACTGACTTTTAAAACCTTTCTCAAAACTGCACTTAAGCCATTTTTTTGTCTCATAAAATGCTATAAAATATTTATTTTTTTAAATAGTCCGATTTTAAAACGGTTTTTACCATATAATGAACGTCCAAACCTATACAAACATAATAAAATCAGAATTAGAATAGTCGTCGAGATTCGACTGAAACCGTCGGGCAGGGTCACATTATAGATATGAGAATGTGGTAAATGCGCGGGCAGCATTAACACTAAACTTTTGCTGTCATATCGCGGGTCGCAAAATATCGTCTTGCGGGCCGCAAAATGGCCAGCGGGCCGCGTGTTTGAGACCCTTGAACTAGACAAATATGGGCCGCATCGCCACAAGGTTGCGTTCTCTCCCCTGTCTTGTATATAGTATGTGTCAATGACATTCAGACTCCAGGCGATTGGACTGGCGGTGTTAGCAATTAGAGAGCGCTTAAAAATAAATACTTTATTTATAAATTGTTCGTACATTGTCCAGGAGAGGCCGCAAGATAATATGGGATACCTTTATTCATACAGAAATATAACAAAATAATTTTTAATAACATTGTAAACCTGCGTTCAGGCATACTATTACTTTTTTGTAAAATGCAAAAGGTAAGAAAAAAATAATAATCTGTAGAGGACATTTTAATTTTAGGTAATTTTTCCTTAATTTTAAAACTATTTCATGTTGATGCTACGTTAAATGCAGAGTAGGCCCAGGAGCTGCATGTTTTTGCAACACCGCGAGATAGCCTTGCATACTATAATAAAGCTGTTGCAGCTTGCCCCATATCTTCTTCTTATATTTGAGGGGCCCATGATCAATTTGTTGATCATTCTGGCTCCTGGTTTAAATTCAGAGTTTGCCTTCTCTTAGATGGGTTGCTGTCCAAGGCTAACGAGTCCCATCCACCCGGAGTGCTTGAGATGTTAACTTTGGGGAGGATTGGACTCCGGACCACCAGCCATTTGGTTTGAGACAGTTTAGACCGATCGGCCACCCAGCACCCAATAGAATATAATTTAATATAATAAAATTAGAGTTTGAATGCGCCTGTACTTAAAACGCGTAACCACGGAGGTCGTATTATTTTTTATCATTGCACATAAGGAAACCAGCCAGACGGGTTTATGGTGAGAAGGTGCTTGTTCATGTTTTTAAGGTAATAGTTCCTGGAGGGATTATACCGCATCCATTGACTACGTATCTCTCTCTACACATATATCAATTGAATTGCGCCCACTTAGAACTTCGGTTAATGGGGTGGCCGTATTTTTTTGCGACTTTCATAGATCATACCGGTTAATAGGAAAACTAAAAGTTTTTAGGTACAGTTAATAATCGAAAGTAAGATTTAAACCTATATAAAATAACTTTTAGCTATTGGTATTGAAATCTAGAATATATCACATATAGCAAGAATCACTCACCCCCGATATCAGCATTATTGAATCACCGTCCTCTCTCCTGTCATCTCTAAACCCGTGCTCGATAATTTTCATAAGTGCCTCCTCTAAACATTAAAAAAAGATATGTTTAACATCATGGTAGCCTTATTTTGCAAAGTTGTGAGGAAGATGCTGTTTTTTAAAAAAATTTTTTTGCTTTAGTATTCATATTCAAGTATATACATTATTATTAATCAATATTTTTCATCATAATTATGTAAATTAATTGCTGAATAACTCTTCCAGGCTCTAAATCTAAATAAGTATATAGTTGACAATGTAAACATCGATGCTTAACATTTATTATGCAGAGCCATCATTTGATTTTTTGGAGGCCATTTGCCTTTTTTTCGGGAGTGTGGCACCCAGCATTCGTTGTTGATAGTTTATTTTCATTACACATCACAACTTAGGGCATCTTAAATATCCGAGGGCCGTACTTTGGGGGCACTTGTCCCATCGGAGGAAGGAGGAGGGTGGAAAAAATTCTTATTAAACGATAAAATTTTACGTACTTGACAAAGGGGGCGCCAAAATCGTCTTCTTACTGGTCCACCCGGACACCGCTTTTCTTTGGCTCAGTCCTGCCTGAAGCCGCAGCACGTGCAGGGCCTACGAGACTTCTTCCAATGTCATTTCCAATTCTCGCTTCTTTATGCCATTACTTTTCAAATTCTTGCTTCTTTATTCCATTACTTTTCAAATTCTCGCCTCTTTATGCCACTACTTTTCAAATTCTTGCCTCTTTATATGACATTACTTTCAAATTCACGTTTTTAAAGTTTTCCTTTAGATAAATGGAATGTTTTCAGCTCCTGTAATCTGCCTTTCTATGAAGCTAATTCCGTCCGTCTAATTTATCAATTACCTACAGAGCCGTCACGTAACTTTTGGAGGCACCTTGCCACTTCTTGGTTTCAATGACCTCTGCATTAAAGAGTGTTTAATGTTTTCGGCTTGAAAAATTTGGACCCTTTAAACATCGAGCCGCCCCTGCAGTAGCAGGGATTGCAGGGCTCACAAGAGGGCTCTTTTGAGATTTAAAATATATCTTCTATAGGAAATATATCTTGTTTTATTCTTTGCTTGCTGGGGCAAATCTATATTCGTAATGCGACTTGATGAGAAATTATTAGGATCATAAAATTAACACATTTAACTTCTGTTGTATAAATGAATTTAATCAAATATTAACAATATCGTTACCCTTTCTATGCTTCGATCACAGGTGTTGTCAGAGGTTGGCAAAGTCAGGCCATCATGGGGCAGACCGGGGCTCCATCCCCTATGTTTATGCTCATTCTCATTGGTCTTCTGCTTGCTTGCATTGACTCAGCTGCTTCACAGAATGGTAAGATTAATTTAATGAGGCCTTTAAAAATTTGTATTTTGAGTTGGCTTCTGACTAGCTGTCATAGACGGTAGCACAAAGGAACAAAAACACAAAAAAACAGACACACATAGGATTATGTACCC